TTTTCTACAGAGGTGTGGAATCAAAATTTGGGCATTTAAAATTTTAAAAAGATACAGAAAAGCTTGAAAGGGTACAGAGGAGGGCAGCAAGGATGATTCAGAGACCGGAAGCAAAACCCTGCAAGGAAAGATTGGGAGAACTAGGCACGTTATACAGATTCTTACAGGCACGTTATACAGATACAGACTGATAGCATTCTACAAGTATCTGAAAGGGAGTCACAATGAGGACGGACAAGATTTCTTCTCATTCACTCCAGAGCGCAGGACACAGAATAACAGAGTTAAGTTAAAAGAAACCAGATTTAGAATAGACACCAGGAAGAATTTCCTTACTGTCAGAGCAGTATGACAGTGGAACCTATTACCTGGGGAAGTTGTGGATTCTCCCTTGCTTGAAGACATTAAAAAAAACATCTGGAAAGTCATTCAAAGGGTTGGTGTAACTTAGTGTCCTGCAATAGCAGAGGGTTGGACCCAATGGCCTTCTGGCCCCTTTCACTTCTGCCATACTATGATTCTATGACTGTGCTGTGCTGTAGGATAGAGCGGAGGTTCTTCCAATACTTTTCTTTCAAACCGTGGGGGAAGTGTAGCAGTCTGGGTGGCCATGTGAGATGAATGGACAGAAGATAGCAAAGGATGAAGCAACCAGCCTTAGCAGTGAACAAAAATAAGTCCAACCAATTTCAAAAGCCAAAGCTGGAGGCTAGGGTGTAGATTGTTTCCCTAAATTGAAAGAAAGGACGTGGTGTAATAGATCATCGATGCCTTGTTGAGGTTTGAGATCCCGCAAGAGTCTCATTGTGTATGAGGGAGGGGGTCCCCTTTTAAACATGCACCCAGTCCTGTGCGGATTGATGAAACAGACTGCTGGGCTGGCCAGACTGGGGATGACCAAGTGAGAATCACTGAAGAAAGCCCACCAGTGGGCGATAATTTGTACTGATCCGCCAGGCAATTGCAGCCTACTTCCAACATTCGCAGGAAAGCTGAGAACGACAGTTCGCTATACTCCGTGGAATTCCTTGCCGGGATGTAGCTGGCTTCCGTCAGGCACCCCGTTTCTCCACGGTGAGAAAGCATCCTACAGCCAACATCGCTCGATACATACCGTAATTTGAAGACCTCTTTAAAATCTGATAAGGGCCCACAGAGGACTACTTTCCTAGCCTCTTTTACATTGCTTATATAAGAAGATTCCCCAGAACTGTAGCATTTTAGTCTTAAGGCAAACCAGGGCAGTCCTAAATACACCTAGGAAGGCTACTCTTGAAGAACCACTCAGAGGATCCAAATATATCTCCCAGATCCTGTAAAACCGTTTACATATCAAACAATTCTATTATTTGCTTTGGGCCTGTCTCCATCAAAGACGTTTGGGAGGCAGCCAAAGGCTGAATTCCTAAAAGGCAATGGAGAATCAGTCCCACTGAACTCAACGAGAGTAAGGATGGGCTAGGACTCAGCTGCATACCACCAGTCATTCTGTTCATGCTTACCTAGAAATAAGTCCTCCTGAATACAATATACATGACTTTATTCCTGGATAAACAAAGTAAAGGATAGGTCTGAGAGAATCACTTACAAAGCTCGCATTATTTCCCTGGACCGGGCTGTAATTTGGGGAGGAAATGAAGCCATTTTCAGACAGTCCAGCTGGAAAATCCAACTCCCTCCCTTAATTCCTGAAAAATAAAAACAACTCACCCAGGGACAGAGAAACCTGCATAGCATTCCATGGCCAAATAGCTGGTGGTGTTCCTTGTTCCTGAAAAGTGGAAGAGAACAATAAGACAGAAACAAAGAGCATGGAAAAGTTCCATGAGCGACATATGACTAAAATCGCCTCCTACACTTTCCTAGAAACAACGGAGTTGTCGGATTTCCAGCACCTGTCTGAAAGAAGTGGCTGGGATTGCTCTAATGTTCTTCATGGCTTCGCGGCTGGCCAGCCAAGAAATCACAACAAACTGAGGGTAGCTAAACAAATTAGAAAAAACAAGGGTGTCCAGCAATACTATCTGACACGCCGCGAACAGCCAGTTCACAGTCTGCATTTGTAACTACTCCGACTCCTCCCCCATGTAAAATGAAGAAGCTGTGAGTTAATTAGCTCCCTTAGGTGAGATTTCCCTAACCAAGGTTTGGGGCTGCCCAGATGTTTTATCTTTTTCCATTAATGAAAGGGTTCTTGTAACAGCAATGCATAAAGAGCGGGCTAGGGAAAGAAGGGTGTTTTTGTTCTTCAGGCTGGTTGTGTGTAACCGTTCTTACAAGGAAACAAGAACAGTTAAAGCCTTTCCACTCTGTATTCCATCTGCCTTAGCTTTCTCTTGTGTCTCCCGCAGATAGAAAGCCAAAGGTTTGGTACTGGAGGAGAGAGACCCGGAGGGGGGGAGACTACTGAACTGGTAATCCAAAGTTAACGTACTCCCAGGTTTTACTTTAAAAAACACCACCCTGTTCCCTGGAGTGAGTGTGCTTGTAGCGATAAAGATCTGAACATGTACAGAAGGCGGGTTTTACGCAAGGCGGTGAGGCTGCGGCAGCCAGCCAAGAGGCTCTCCCTCTTTTTTGGAAGGTTCCACCCACTTGAACACAAAACTTTTTTTTCCTTCAAGGCTCTGACATCAGAAAAGTAAGGAAGGGAGCGCAGGCAGAGAGAGGCTCACGGGGCTAGTAGCGAAGAGCACCGAGGCCTGGAAGGAGGAACGAAAGCAGCCGGACAGACGTACAAGGAAGGGTCAGCCGCTCGTTTTCTCTTCCTCCTCTTTCCGGTTTACTTTCAAGAACTCGTCGAAGTTGCTTTTTCCGCGCAGGAAGAGCGCCGAATTGATATGTGATAGGCGCGCTCAGCCCGGTGCCATGTATTGGAAGAGCAGCCCGATGTTTGTGTGTAAACTGGACGACAAGGACGCGCCTGCGCTTCGTATCGCTACCGAGAAGGTGAGCTGTTCCTTCTCTACTGGCCTTCTGAAGACAAAGTTCTTTTGTTAAGTGGATCGCTTCTGTAGCCTTCTGCGTAAACTCCCACCCAGGAATGGATTCGAACCTAACACTTATAATTATGTTTGCTCCGGAGTAGTTCCATTTGTCTTAATGGGACTATTTCGCTTTAAGCGGATTGTTGATTGCAGTTTACAGATATCCAGGAATGAACCCCCCTCCTCTTTCTCACTTCCTTTGTTATGCGTTTTGTGTGCGCGCGCGAGGGTAGCTACTTCTTACTCCAATCCTAATTTGAAGGCAAATTGGCACAGTTTCACTTAACGTCTGCAAACGCTACACCCCATCCGGCAAGGATTTACAAGTACCAAGCGGGGGGGGGGGGACTACGATTTTGCCTGCTTTCCTTTCCTTTTTTTAAAACGAAAGCCTGATTTTCTAATTAAAATTGTTAGCTTAGACAATATTTAGGGCATTGGAAGACTGGCCTCGCTTCTACCTTACTCTGGAGTAGTCCCTTCAATTTAAGCCATCACTGGCTTAAGGATTTTTTTTCTGGGTTTGCTTCGAACTTTCTAAGGTCATACTTTCTAGCTGGGTAAACTGCAGTCGTTTTTTAATAAGGAACCGTGGCGATCAACAAACCAGGGTCAGAATCCTCAAAACTAGCTCTGTTGGCTTCGATGGGACTATTTCGGGGTAAGTGATTGTTACAGCCTTAAAACAACCGAGCAAATAAAAGTTCGAGGACTGTTGACCAGTCTCTTAAATTAATATTAAATACTGCAGCCATTTTATTCAAGGAGAGAAGAATCTGAGTAAATTGTTATAGGGAAAGAACTGATTAGCTCGATCATGTTCAGCTTATCGGGTTCAGTAGAATCGTTTGACTAATTAGAAGCTCTTTAAGTGATTTCGTGATCGGTTCCCCCTTGTTATAATCTGGAAGCCCTTTCGAGAGTGCTTTCTGAGGAGCCACTTCTTCTGGTGGGAATCGTGGAGTCTCGGACTGTGTAATCTGTTGACATCTGGCGAGCGGTTCGATCGGATCCTTGTTTCTGTGCTAGCTGACTGCTGGCAACCAAGTCGAGCAAAGCGATTTCGGTGGGGCTACCTTGGAGCAAGTAGCTGATGGACTGCAGTATCAGCGAAATTACCTTTCTGGGAAAGAGTTTTCTTGCTTCAGTGAGATTATTCTGGGGACATCCATTTATATTCTGGATTAAATCGCTAAAGCGGTCTCCCCATTTCTCAGCTGGCTATCACTTTAAGCTTCCAAAGGCCACCTGTGCACAAACGCCTTGAAATATCTCTTTAACTGCCCTGGGTTTGGTGTTAGGAGGCAATTCGTATTAAGTGATCTTAGGCAGCTGCTGTGTAGCTCAGTTGTTGAGTTAAAGCCGTCTTCCGGCGCGAGGTTGTTCTGCGTTCAGCTAAGTTGCTGATGGGGATTGGAGTGCATTGAGAGACTCGGGACGGGCACTTCAGCTCCTCGTCGGGTCAAGCACCCTTAAACCTACTGCCTCCAATTGACCCAAAGGGCGATCGTTTGCTTTTAACCACTCACAATTAAATTCAGCTGGCTGGCTTCCCTCCGCCTTCCCTCCTTTTCATGTAACGTCCTCTCCCACTCCTCTCTGCTACTTAATTTTTGTGCCTTAAAAAAAAAAAAATCCTTGGTTATTTAAAGCAGCACCTTGGCCTGTTGACTTCAGCTTGAGAGTTTAAGTGGCAATTTACACCACGGAGTCCCCGAACTGGAAGTGGTCGGCAAGCCGTAATTGCGGCGAGTCGCTGGAGCGCCGTGCAAGCCAAGGCATTTTCATTCAAATCGGGAGAGCTTCGGAGCTGCGGCCGTAATTAACACTCAAGGACTCCATTCAAGCGCTTTTGGTGTGGGGACGGCTTCCCTCTCTAATTGCCCTCGTTTAGCTTTTGGTTGGAGACGAGAAAAAGGTCGGTCACCTCTCTTCCGCCCGCCTGCCCCTTTCTCCCCAGCCCCAGTTCTCCAGGGCCTTCGGTACGCTCAGCAGTCTGGTCTCTCTTTGCAGTGCCCGAGGCTCATGGCTGAGGAGTGCGGGCGAGTAGCGGCCGCTGCAGCAGTCGCGGTGGCGGGAAGGAGGCGGAAAAGCGCCGGAGAGACGGGGCTGGTGAGTACGGGAAAACCCGCCTGCTGCATCTTAGGGATGGCGGGTACAGGCAAGGGGGCTTCGGAAGACCGTTTCCTAAACGAGAGGGTGGCGTTGGTTCCCGAGTTAGCGAGGCGCCAGGACTGGGCTTGTCGCGTCCGGACGGGCACTGGCGTGGCGCCGCTGGGGGTCACTTTGGCGCCCGCTGCGAGCTGAAGCACCGCGCGACGCAGTCGTAGGTCCGAGTTTGCGTTATCCGCCCCGTCAGGCAGTTCATTGGGTGGCCTGCAGACCGCGCGCCTCCGACGCGGCACTGTTGAGAGGCGACCCCCTGAGCGCCCGGCGCGTCGGGGAAATGGCTTGCTCAGGTGCCTTGGGAGCCGAATAGCGCGCAGCTCCGGGAACTGAGGGAAGCACTTCGAAGCAGAACGCGGTATCGCTTGCCTTGAGTGACGCTTCCGCGGTGGCGTGGATGGGGAGGCGGCAGCCCCGCGGGAACGTTCCGGGGGTGGGGGCCGTGGCAGCTTTCCAGCCTGGCGCTTCCTCGGGGCAGGTAACCCTGGGCGCCGAAAGAGGAGGACTCTTTTCGGGGGGGGGGGCGCAGGCGTGTAAGCACCGTTTTAGGCAGAACTGCGGTAAAAGCGCTGCCCGGAACTAATGGGCCTATATGTGCTTATGTCCGTGTGGCAGCTAAGCCCGGAGGCAGCTGGGGACGAGGACTCGTGCTCTTCGTCCGCACCCCTGTCGCCATCGTCTTCCCCGCGCTCGCTGGCCTCGGCTTCCGGTGGATGCGGATCCAGCAAGTGCGTCTGCAACAGCTGCGGTCTGGAGATCATCGACAAATACCTACTCAAGGTGAGCGGCTGGTGGAGGCGCCCGCGCACGGACTCTTTCCCGGTCTCAAGGAGAACGCTTCGGGGAAGGGGGAAGACGTTGGGCTTGGGCTGAGGAGGTAGTTCCAAGCAGAGCAGCTCTTCGACTGGCGCGGGACTTGGCCTTCACTGAACGCAGCAAATCCGCCCGCCTGGGTCGCTTTCCTACTTGTCCTTAAGCTAGCGAGATGACCTTTTGCACAGTGTTTTCGGACAGAGAAACTCGTAAAACAGGGTGTTGCACTTTTGAAAGAGTAGTCAGAATGTGACACACACATGACTCAATGCAACTTCAAAGAGAGAACCCATCTAAAGGGGTTGCTCCTAGAAGATACCCAAGGAAAGGAAAGGCACATGTTGATAAGAGTACTTTTGAAAAGACACTGGACTATGTTAGTAAAATTTAAACCCCACCAAATCCAGTGGGAATTAATCCGTGACTGATTGGGATTCACTGATTCCAGTGGATCCAAAGCTCCCATAATTTAAACTTGATCCAACCATATGAAAATTAGGAAGGTTCTCTTCCTTCTTACACTAGAAATAAAACACTTCTCTTTAGTTGCATATTTGTCTGGAAGATGGCTAAAAGTTAAAATAACAATGTAGTGAGATTAAGGCTGCACCATCTTTAATACATAAGCAAAAATGTTTCCTTTAAAATGCAGAAATGCTATTCAATTAGAACTATTTGTTTAAATAGCCTATTTGCTACAGAACAGAAACAGTGTCTTGATGGATTCTTTAACTAAGAAGTATTTGTTTGTGGTTTTGTCTGGGTTACTACCCAGCCATGGTCACGTGAAGCTCTCCATGCAGTTTATGAACGCCACGTGTGTACTCTGCCATTGATTAGTAGCAACTAATCAAAACTGAAACTTGGCTTTGTTGCAAAAAGTCCAGCAATTTGAACTTCATAGTCCTCAGACTGTTAAGTTTGACAATAGTTTCCTGTAAGCAGCTCAAAATTTGAACCATGCCAAACCCAGGAAAACTTACTTGTTACTCGAAGTGGATTAAAATACCGTTTTCAGAGTTTATTTGCTTTTACTGTTTTTAATCCTTAAATTGGTGTGAACTATCTGACATGGTACATTAGATATTGACAAATCTGGGGACTTAGAATTAGGGTATTATTGTATTTTTATTCTGCTTTTTGACCTTTGGAATTAAATAGGTAATCTTAGTTGCTCTTCCCCCCCCCCCCCCCCGTCAAACATCTAAATGTTTGAGTTCAATATGAATTACACACTCAGTATTAAGCATGTTTGAGTATAAGCAGGGCTTTTTTTTTGTCATAGAACGCACCGGAACGGCATTCCTGCACCTTTTTTTCAATGGATTTTACAAAGTGATTTTGAGGCGTAGCAGATCAGCAGCAAACATCATTAACATAGTGCCTGCAGGCTGCTATTGTGTCTGCTATCTGATAGTGAGAGATAGCTTCTTCAGACGCTCGCTGCTCCCTGCTCCCGGTTTGGGATTGGTGTGTGTGTGCTTACTACCGGCGAGACATGAGTTTGGCACCTTTCTTTTTCTTTTTTTTTTCTTTTTTTACAAAAAAAGCACTGAGTATAAGTCTTCTGTTACAAGCTTACTAGAGAAACCAATGTAACTTAAGAACTTTCTGATTTGAGAGAAAAAAAACCTTCTTCCTCCACAGTCCTGCTTTGGCCTGAGATGCCAACAGGTGCAGACAAGATGATATTACACTTGATATTTATGTTCATTTTAAGTAGTATCTGTTTATATTGTGGTATTATGTGGAAGGCAAAAATATATCTTAACTACTGGTTTCTGTGTTTGTCTTTGTGCCACAAATTCTGTGATTTCCTAGTTGCTAACATGCAGTGAATTTAAGAGGAAGGCATGATATGAATTTTAGAGATGGGACATTTAGGCAGTAATTTAGTTAGAGAATTACAGAGCTGAGAGGGTAATGATCTGTTAATGAGGATGATCATCTGACAATATCAAACATCATGGCTTTCTTACTTTCAACACAACTTGCAAGATTTTGCTAAATGTGTAATGAGCAAGCTGTTAAAATGTGTTGGAGTGCTAGTTTAGACTGGTGAGGAATATTGCATATTAATACTGTTACCTTGATTAGTCCTTATGTTGTATAGCCATCTTTGATGCCAGAAGAAGCAGCAAAGGTGAAGTCTGACTATTGTTTTCTCTTTGTATATGGTCAAAGGAATTGATATTGTTTAGCTATATGACTTCCTGCACCTTAAATGCAGGTGGTGTTGGTGGTTAAAGGTGGCTAAATTGCTTTGCAGTGCAATTCTATACATACATTAGAAGTAAGCCTAACTGAATTCAGTAGGGCTTATTTCTGGGGAACTGGGTGTAGGAATGTATTTTGTCATCCCTTACTGGTAAATTCTTAAATCATGGAAGTATGTTTGTTGGTGATATTTTCTGCAACTAGACCATGGCAAGTAATAAGCTCTGAGCAAGTAGGTTCAACTGGTAGCTACCATGATGAGGTTTAAGCAATATTATTTAAATCTATTTTGGGAGAATATTATGCCTTTATAAATTGCAATACTAGTGACACAACAGCCACATAAGTGAACTATGATTAAAGGCAGTTTAGAGCTTGAGTTCTAAAAAGAAATACGGTCACATAGGAAAAAATCAAAATCCTTCCAAACTAAACTGCATGTTAAAATGAAGGATTTGCTGATAATTGTGAACAGCAACTGACTTTGCCAGCTTTGCCTCTCCTGGCACTCAAGGAAAGGAGGCTAGCTGAGATATGCTGGGATTTGTAAGGTAATGATATATTTCTATACCTCCCATAGCTGAAACACTCTGGTTGGTTGACAACATTTAAGTCATCAATCCAGATTTCAACCCTGCTTAGCTTCCAAGATTGGACAAGATTAGGCACTTTAGGCTATATGGAAGATTGTAGTCAAATGCATCTGGAGTATGCAAGCTTGGGAAAGCCTGGGCTACCATATGGCTTTTTATGAAACATTATAAAAACTGAACAATTTTGTTCATTGGTTTGAGGATATAGATTGTTCATGGGCTTATTTAATGCAGCAAGGGAAACTAAGTTAACAAAGAAATGAAGCATGGTATGCTTCACACAATCAAGCAGCAGTCATGATAGTTTCACTTTATCATGGAGTAATTGTAAGCTCTGCAGTGTAAGTTCACCCTTTGAGGTAGATGTTGACATGGTGTTAAATGATACCATTCTGTTAAGTAGCTCCTTATTCCTATAAACCATGTTGCCTTTTCCTTTAATTATTTGCTAAAACTTGCATAAGTACTTGTTCTAAATGCTAGAGCAATTTGCATATATAAATGTGTTCAAGCTCTTAATTAGCTTTGGGCTTGAAACCTGTCTACACCAGCTCCTTTTATAACTCATCAATGAAAATAGGTCGAAGAAATGGCTGAATTTTTATGTCATCTGTCACCTCATCATCCTATTCTGACTTGAGTTTCATTTTTTAATTTCTTTACAGGAAAAGAAGTACCTCTCAAAAGTATTTATTCTTGATTATTCAGGCAAATGCCTTATGTTTCATAGCATAGCCATCCTATAGCTTGTGTAGATGCATCATTGTTGTGAGGACAGAGAGGAAACCATTGCAATTATTTTGTGTTAATTTGCTTACTCAGTACAGAGGAACTTGCCACATGTCTATGCAGAGAAACAGCTTCTGGACTTCAAAAGGCATGTTTAACTGTACATCTAGTGGCACTTACACATAATTTATTCATTTCAGTGGGGCTTTTATTAGATAATCTGTTGATGAAATGTTTCAATTTGTATATAAATTGTTAGTATATAAATTATTTTGTGGTTCCTTCTAAAACATGTAAAGTCTTAAATCTTTGCTTTACTGTGAATTTTATTGAAGTTCTATAGAGATTTAAAATGATTGGTACTGATTGTAAAATTTTTCTTTCTCCCCTAAAAGGTGAATGATTTGTGCTGGCATGTACGGTGTCTGTCTTGCAGTGTATGCAGGACCTCTTTAGGAAGGCATACCAGCTGCTACATCAAAGACAAAGACATTTTCTGCAAACTAGACTATTTCAGGTATATTCTACAGCTCCAGTATATTTTAGTATGTTGAAACTATAAATGTAGACCTGTGAGATTTTTTGCTTTGGAAAGTGTACTGTAAATGGTAAGCAGACTGTGCAGTTTGAATTAACTTCCAGCTACTTAACTAAAATTGAATCATGTAAATAAATCAAAACAATTATTAATTTAATACTGAGCACAAAAGGTGCACCCTTTCAACTGTTTGAGGTAGGAAATGCCTGGTTTTGAATGACATAATCTTGTCTATTCACAACATGTGCATTTTAAGGAATGCTTGCCTTGTCAGTAAATTAAAGAGCAGAAATTGAGTTCTGTTTGGTGGCTGTTGTCAGATTGCTCTCTTCATAGCTATAGTAGGAGTTCTTGTTGCTGTGTTTCTCCCCCCATTTCTTGATTTGAGGATTACATAACTCAAAATCAGTTTATCACAATGTGATCACTGATGGGTTCATGCTAAAAAAAAAAAAAAAAAATCCAGTTACCTTGACAGCACGATCCTAAATCCCACTGAGTTCAGTAGAATTTTATTCTAAGTAATTGAATAGGATTGTGGTTGGACCCTGCCACTGAAATGAGTGAAAACTAACAAACCACCTAGTTATCTTCGCTGTGTCTGATAAATATTATTTAACTATAAATAGTTAATATTTCAATCTTTAAAGCTTTTATGTCTTCCTCTCAACTTCCTGTTTCCATTGCCCCTTGCAAATTGCAGTTGTTTTCCTCCAGTGCTCTGTTGTACAGCCAGCATTATGGGGAGTGTGCTATGTCTGTATTCAGTGTATTCACACATACCGAGATAGAACATGGGGATACTTCTCTGCAAACACAGGGGTGAGGAACCATTGTCCAAATGTTCTGGGATTCCAAATCCATCAATTTCAACCAATGGGGTTGTTTTCAGAGCTTCTGAAAGATGTAATCCAGCAACATCTGGAAGGCCATAGATTCCTAACACTGTGCTAGAGTATCTTTATTTGCAACAAAAATAATTAAAACATACCTTTAGTTTTCTGAAGTTTTACAGTCACATATATAATCTTGTATCTTCTGTCCCAAACATGCCTAATGAGCCTATTGGAAAAATTAGAATACAGAACTTGAAACCAATTTTAGTGGTGATAACTAGCAAACTACAACTATTAATGAAGCCTACAGATTTGGGGCTCTGTTCACCTGCACTTATCTTGGCATTCTTAGGAATCACTTTCAGGATTTTGAAACCTTCAATCTCAGCTCATTTGTCTAACAATGGAAGGCACTGTGTCAAAACATCAGAAGAATATTCCTGTATAAGATTTTCATCTTCTCAACCTCATACTTTGGCCATTGTTGTATATGCTTCAGTAGCCATTATTTTGTGTCACTGCAATGGACCCTCAGTGGCTAAAAACTATTGAGAAGTTGCAGCTGATGCAGAACTCTTTTGCTTGTCTTTAGCTTAGAACAAGTAGTATATTGCACTTATTGCTGGATGTTACATTTTTAATCCCCCAAATGGCCTAAAATTTTTGGGTTGCAGGGGTGGAGCTAAAAGAAACCTTTAATATATATCATCAAACGGTGACTATTCTTTCCCCCCCTCCTTACTGAAAAGTAAGCATTGGGTACCAGATAAAGACTCTACAATGCATAGCATTTAAACATTATTTTCTCCTTTCTGTGGTCTTAGTCTGGATTAGAGATCCTGTGCCTGCAATTTGTGTGTATGTGGTGGTGGTGGGGAGTTCCCAGTGATGGGAATGAGGGAGTTTTTCCCTATGATGCTCCGGTGTGTGGCACCCACTTTGGTTTCAACTTACAACAGGGAGCAAAGGCTTAAAGACCCCCTACCTACATACTAGGGTCCTAATCTGGATCAGATCCTTTGTTTACTTTACATGGTGGGCTGTAATGTTTTTTTTTAATGTTTTGATAGCAATTAAGTTAGTTGCGAAAAACTTTGTACATTTGTTCCAGCATGACTGAAGTGCAGTTATTTGCAGCATTAAAAAACAAAAAACAAAATGAACAAATATAAGCCCGTTGGCCTTGACATCGTCTTGCACAGAAAAGCCCTCCTTACCACAATATTGCATCCTTTCTGTTTGTTTAAAATAACTGTTGACAGCATTCCCTGAAGTCGGCTAGCTGTTTTTTTGACTACTGATATTTATAGTATGATGTATTTCTCTTGTAGTTAGGTTACTGTTCCTATCTCTGGATTTTTTTTTTTTTTTTTTGCTTTTACTTTCTTTTAAATACATGTTCTTCTAATGTCTATATGGATAACTTTTTGACAGATTAGCATTGCATATGTGGAGTGTGGTTTTGCCTTGGTGTTTAATCAGTAGTCCTTTTAGCAAACAAGTTGTGAAACAGGAAAATCTATATGCTAATACATGCAGGAAGTTATATATATGTATATGGCAATAGGTTTCCTGGGGTGACTCTTTAAAAGATTCCTGTAAAGATTTGCTTTAAAGGAAAGTGTTTGCCCTTATTATAGCCATCTTTAGAAATCTTGGAAGGCACGAGAGAGCAATGTCTCAAAAGTACAAAAGCGAATCTGTTTGCTGAAGAAATAAAGACAGAAAAATCCCAGGGCAGCTGTCAGTAAGGTCAAGAGAATTTTAGGGTGAATGTAACCCTTAAAATAAGTTAATGTGATCTAACTTGAGTGGCAGTTGAACTATAACTGGCTTCTAACTTGTTCTGCCCTCTTTTTTGTAGACGGTATGGAACCCGCTGCTCACGTTGTGGCAGACATATCCATTCTACTGACTGGGTCCGTAGAGCTAAGGGGAATGTGTACCACTTGGCTTGCTTTGCCTGCTTCTCCTGCAAAAGACAGCTTTCCACAGGGGAAGAATTTGCTTTGGTTGAAGAGAAAGTTCTTTGTAGAGTGCATTATGACTGCATGTTGGATAATCTGAAAAGAGAAGTTGAAAATGGTAATACTCTATTTTGTTACATTTCTATTATAACCAAACCTGCCTCCAAACCTAAGGCAAATTTTGGAAGCCAGTTTTGGATGAAATTCTGTAGTTAAAGTACGCACATTTAGCACACATGCAACTTCATGAGAAGTTGGCCATCAGTACTTTTAATAAGTCCCCTGAGAATTTTTCATTGCTTTTATTTCTGAACAAGTAATATGGCCATGATAAGTTTCTCTTTACCATGCACACTACCTCACATTACCAAGTCTCCATGTAAATAAATCATAACACTTTTTTGATATTCAACTTCTTGGTGGTTGAATAAAATAAGTCTTTATTTGAAAGGATTCACTGCATTTAAAAAAACTACTGCTAACATAATTGCTTTGGTAACTTAGATTTCTGTAGGGTTTTTTTTTTTTTTCTGAGCATGGTAATCAAAGTCCACTGGAAGTTTGCTTAAGAGGGAAAATCAAATTCCACTTGATTTACAAAGCAGTGATAGTCAACATTACTACTGGGCAGAGTAAAGGAGGTTTGACAATCTGGCTGTCAGTATGAACTATGTGTATCTATAAGAATGTAATATTTGAACTATTGATCTGCATTTAATTGCAAAATAAATGGTTTTCAGTCATCCACATGCTAAATTTTTATCTGATAGTCATGGACTGTTACTAATGAAGATAAAGAGTTGTGCTTCTAGTACTGATCTGAAGTACTGCTTATTTTATGAAAGTAAAGACATGGTTTGGCCTGGATCATGGAGCACCAGCCCTAATCTATTTCCCAGGGGCCTGGATTGATTATCAGAGTCCTGAGTGTTTGTTAGTGTTACATTAAGAGATTTTTCTTCATTTTAATTGACATTAAGGGAATAACTTCAAGAGGAATTTCAGCTGGGAAGGAAGAGTTAACTCTTCCAGTAACACATGCTGGTGTATGTGTTCATGTGTGTGCGCACACACAGTTTAGCTATTTATAGCTAAGCCTTCTGGGAAATTTAAAAGAATCCTATTAATGTTTAAATTTGAATATTTAGATATAAATTAGAATGCAGATTTGTGCAACTTTGTGTTTTATGAGCCTGGCCCCCAAATCATTTCGGTGCTAAGCAATGCCCCTGGATGAAAAATCAAATTTTGCCCATCTACTCAAGGACTTGAGTAATCAAACTTCAGCTTAATATTACTAGTTTCAAAATAAGAACAGATATTTCTGTATTTAAGTATATTCTGAACATTGGAAGCCTATTCTGCTAAAATGTCTGAAATGAATATTAGCACTAGCAGTATTTGTACTTTGACTTCTTCTCTTTAATTTCAGGGAATGGTATTAGTGTAGAAGGTGCACTACTAACAGAACAAGATGTTAATCACCCAAAACCAGCAAAAAGAGCTCGGACCAGTTTCACGGCAGATCAGCTGCAGGTAGAGCCCCAGCACAGTAAAATACTCTAATCAAAGAGTATGGACATGGGAAGTGTGAGGCATAATGATTTTATGCTGTACATGACTTTAAAATTCTGTGAAAGCTAGAGATATGAACCAATCATTCTCTCCACTACAAGCTTGTTATCAAGGTGCAGCATGTTCATGAATTACTTTGGTAAGCTTTAGTTGTTTCATATGAAACGGTTACTGTTCAGGCATTTCTATCTCCCTGAAGGCAGCTGGTAAGTCAGTAAAGTGGAAATGTAAATGCTGATATATTTTGCCTAGTTGAGAAAATTCATAAAATCAGGCATTTACATCACTTCACATAATTGCAATAAGGGACGAAATAGTTTCAGTCCTACGTAACATGGTTAGGGACACCAGGAAATGTGCAGAATATTTACACATTTACAGGAAATGTGTAAACAGCTTTACAGGAAATTTAACTTTTTAAGCCACTTAAATTTCACTACAGGCAAGCAGCAATCAAAACTGTGGTGCTACATAGCAAGAAGCTATCATGCTGAAATTGGCTTAACCAGGAGCTAGCATTAGGTTGTGGAGCCTTGGTTAGAGGCACCATGTTCAGAAGGGTGCCTAAATATCTTAATGGACTTGATTATTGCAAAGCAAAATTTATATACACAAATAAACACACATATATGTAAATAATTCACTCCTTTGCTCAGTTTGCTACTAGTTTTGCCTATTCTGAGGTAGATGTGCTGAAACAAACTTATTACTACATTTTAGTTTCCATCTATTTCTAGCTTCTGCTTTATAGAACATTTTCCTCAGTATCTCTGAAGGCTGGGACTTCACCATCTTAGTTTTGAGCTACACATTTAAGTGTTCTTTTTTTAACACTCCACTATTTTTTTTTCAACTATCTGTTCTGCTTCATATGAGTTTAGCATTACTTCTGGGTGGAGATACTTTGTTTGCTTCCTATCTTGCAAATGATTGGATTGCTGTCTTCTCTTTGAGGACTTGGTATCCCAAGAGGACTACTGCTATCAGAAAAAGTTGCTATACGTGAATGGAAGGAGTGGTAGGGATATTTGCTTGAAATATTATCCAGTGTATGCAGTGGTATGGCCCAGATGCATTAAATTGCTATCTCTACACCATGTGCATCATCACATCTTACATCATTTATGTTTTCCTGCTTTAGCTGTGTTCTCTTGGAAGCAAGTGCCATTAAACTCAGCAGGAATAGCTTCCTCCTAAGTATACATAGCAGAGATGGGGAACTTTGGAGTTCCCAGCTGGCCCCATCTCTTTTCCAGTGATCAAAGATGATCACTTTGATGGCTTCCTCACTTTTGTGCATCTTTTTCCGCATTCTATAAGGCTGACGTGCTTCTCTTTAGTTATTGGTGTAAGGGCTTTAAGCTATAATGTGCTAGTTTTGGTCCTGCCACCCTTGCCTTTATCCCTGTCTTCCACTTCTTTAAGAGGTTTCCTGCTGTTTCAGGATTAGGCTACACAAGTACAAATTAAAGTACAAATCCCACCATTGTAGATAAAATGTCCAATGTGTCTTGCAAGGGGTAGAACACAACAACACATATGCCCCCATATCGTGAAGCAGATTTTCACAGCATGCAGAGTATTGCCCACTCTTGTTCCCACTGACAAAAGCAGTTAATTCAGGAGCAAAAGATTAATGGCATGTCACCTATTTTTAAGATAAAGCAACATAATAAACAAGTTTGAATATAGTAAAAATAAACAAACCAACAATAACAAATAAGCAGAAATGGAAAGAACAAAAGCACAAACAAGGAGGAACTAACTAAAAGTGCCCATCATAACAGTTTTTAGCACATGCTGAAAATATATCTTGCTATCCAATATGCTCTACTTTGGTAAAATTAATTTGGTACTTCCTAAAATATTACTGTATGATTCCTCAAATTATTCAGTTGTCTGTGGTATTGTGTCAAATTGTTTTATCATTCCAAAGATCTAAATTGAGGTGTCTGAAGTGCTCTTCAAGGTTAGGAAAGTAACCTGGGAGAACCCAGAACACTTGCTATCCTGAAAGCTTTCCCACCACCTTTCCTCCCCCACATTGACTAACGTGTCTGACGAAAAATGCAGGTCAGGAAGATAGAGAAGTGAAGACCAGTTCTACCACTCTTTTCACTCTACATTGGTTAATGTAAGCAAAGCCTCTGCATTCACAGGCTTACAGCTGTTGCCATATGATTTTGCACCCTAATCTCCCATGCAGAAGAAGAAGTGAAGTCATCACATTAAAACATGTGTACACTCCTGTCCTTTAAAATACTTAATTTCTTCAGGTTGCTTTCCTGGTCTGAAATTTCCCAAATTTCTTTTTAAAAAATGTTCTAACATTAGCTGCTTTCCAGTCTAATGGTATCATTTGGGGTCAAGTTATCATTTTGCTTAGAATTGAAAACAGATATTTTCACATTTGAGAAATCTCAGATGAACAGCATTCAAAATATTCATTATGTTAATGAATAAGAATTTTATTTCTTAGCATGCCTCAGTTCAAACTGGCATGGACATTTATTGTCCATATTCTGTAGTGAAGGTAGACACAGATTATTCATGTAGCTTCTCCATAGACTCCTGGGTCTCATTTAGCACATCTTTAACTTGTTACCTGATGGTTCTATTGCCTCCCTAGGCAGTTTTCTGCTTTTTTGTTTTCAGTGTTTTTAATAACAATCTCCTTGAATTATGGTTTTACGCCCCTTTCTTTTGCCAAAATTTATGTGCCTTATAGTTCATTTTGACAAGGCTTCCATTTTCTTAGATAACCCTTTTTGTTTCACTAAACATTAACCAAGTATGACTTGGTCATTCTTTTCCTGATATATTTTCTAGTTGAGTTACTCTTATGGTAGTTTTCAGTAACTTCCAAGAGGTGAGATGATCAAGAGGTCTTTCTTTAAAGTCTTTAAAAAGACTCTCTTTTAAATAACAACTTCTCCTCCTCTTTTTTCCTTCTTCCAAAGCCCTTCTTTTTAAAAATGTTTCCTCTTTTGAAATCTTTCTTGCCAATTGTCCACTAATGTGTGTGCTGATTTTGAATAATGGGAGTATCTGGCTTTTTCGGCTACTAAGAGAATTCAGTTGCTACTTGAACAAAATCATACTGTTTTGCGCATATGCTAACTTGTTGAAACTCCCTTCCTTGTCTCCATATTTTGTTTCAATTCCAGGCTGTGACACAGCTGATTGAATTGGATTTGTTGTCATTTGATCTACGTAAGATGCTCAACATTGAAGGTGCACAATATTTTTTATTGTGGCACAAAAGTTAAGTAAACAAAACAAATTGGCCATTATTGCATAAGTATTCACACCCACAAGGCAAGTCTAGGTAGAAGCACCTTTGGCAGCAATTATAGCTGCACGTTTTCTTGTGAATCTGGATTTTCCATTTTTGCTGGCAAACTGTTGCATGTCTTTTAGATCAGATGGGGATTCTTGCTGAATAAGGATTTCAAGACTTGCCACAGATTTCCCATCAAACTCTGAGGTCTAGACTTTGACTGGGTCTTTCTAAGACAATCCAACTTTTATTTTTATACCAGTTAAGTGTTACTCTGGTTATGTGCTAAAACTGATTGTTCTGCTGGAACTTCCACCTCAGTCCCAGGTTCCTTCCAGAATAAAACAGCTTTTCTTCAAGAATTTCCCAAGATCCATTCAGCTTGCTTTCAGTCCTGACCAGTTTCCCAGTCCCTTATTGAGATAAGCATCCCTACAATACCACCATGCTTCACAGTGGGGATAGTGTTCTCAGGAATAGTTTTGTGTCACAGTGTTTTGGAACAAGGTCAAAATGTCAGTTTTGGTCTCATCAGAGAACCTTTTTCACATGTTTGCTGTCTCTCCCACATGCTTTTTGGTAAATTCAAAACTAATTTTAATAGGCCTCAGTTTCAGCAGTATCTTTGCAAGAGTCCAAGTCACAGTTGTCCCATAGATGATTTCCCCCATCTCAGCTGAAGATTTTTCCAGCTGCTTCAGATTTACTGTTGGCCTCTTGGTTGCTTTTCTGATACTCTCCTGGGCACTGAGTTCTGGTGGACAATTTTTTTTCTAGACAGCTGCTTTCCAACATACTCTGGGTCCTTCTAGAAACAGGTGTATTTAATCTGAGCTCATGTTGGAATTGCACACACGTAGACTCAATTCAACTGTGTGCACTGAATTCTGGAGCCCAGTGGGTTGCACCCAGAACATATTTAGGTATGGGGAGGTGACTATTTATGAAACCAGTACATGCTAGTTTGATTTTGTGTATTTTGTGCTACCATATTTTTTATTATTTTCACAGAGTTGAGTATCTAGTGGATATCAAGTGGTAACAATGCAGTTCAATCTAACTCATTTCCAGGATGCAATTCAACAAAATGTAGGAAAATCAAGGCAGGATGAATAATTTTGCAAGGCTCTGTGTGTAAACCTATGTTCAGAATGTCTGCATGTTTATCCTTTTAAGTCAAGTAATGAGACAAATGTCTCTGTATTAACCCTACTAATTTTAAATGAAAAAAGTGTCTACAATAAAGTGGCTATTACTTTCTGAAAAACAAAACAGAAAACTTGTGCCTTTATCACCTAATTTCAATTTCATAATGGAAACAATAGTTAAAAAAATAAAAGTTGGTTTAAGGCCAACTGATGTTCAAACAGTTCTTAAACTTATTATAGATATAGCAGAAAACTATGGAACTGGTTGATCATTGCTAACTTTTCACATTCCCATCAAAAGACCAACATATGATTAATTTAAATACAATTTTACAATATGTATACAGAAATAAATCCAATTGAATTTAATGAGACTTGTGCTCTGATGTACGTACATAGGTTTGTGTCTTTAGTATGACTAGTCTATTGACTTTATTATATTCAACCATTAAAATTTATTTGGCCTATAATACTGATCTAGCAGCTAAATGTTCAGTTTAATTCCATTCCCAGCTTAAATGTATAGCTGGATGGACTAGCATTTTTTGCTGTAAAGCTCAACAAAACTAACACATTCTTGGGACTGTAAATTTTTAAATATTTTTGTTTGATCACCAAAAAGGCCTCAAGATTTTCTTCAAAATGTGAAATAATGGTCTTTATTTTATATAACAATTTCATGTTAGAAGATTTATGACTAACTCTGGACTTACCAGAATTATTGGTGAGCCATTAAAGATCAAAGTAACACTAACAGTGGACAACAGTCCAGCTGCTAACTCAAGTTGAAGCTGAAGCAAGTAGAGAAGAGTGATAGCTAACTTTTGTGAAAAATACTTTTATATTAGGATTCACAGATGACATTTTTGGCATGATAAACCCACTAGTAAGTAATCTTTAACCTTGTCGCATGATGCATATATTGTATAAATGTGCCTGGCATAGGAACAGTTAATATAGCCATTTAATTTTAAGGGATCTCTTCCACTTTCTATTACAATTTATTTGTTACATTTATATGCTGTACCCATAGCCAGCAGGCTTTCTGGGTGGCATACAATAACTAATAAAACAACAATTAAAGATAAAATTAAAAGAATAAAACAAGACAATGTTAAATAAGGACAATTAAAATTTTAAAATACAATCTGGCAATTAAAAGATCATGGAAAGGCAGCAGCAGGAGGATCGGTAAGATGTTAAAACCAAATTAGTCACCAAAACATCTGTGGAATAAAAGTTTTCACCTGGTGTCCACAGGAGAGAAGTGATGGTGCTTGGCGAATCTCCTTGGGAAGTGGTATTTCAAAGGTGGCGTGTTACTATAGAGAAGACCCTTCTCCTGGCCATTTCCTCCCTCGTTTCATTGGGTGTGGGATGCAGAGAAGGGCCTCTGACAAGGATCTCAGTGATTGGGCAGGAACATGTGGAGACAAGTGTTCCCTCTGATATCCTTGTCTCAAGCTGATTAGGTTTTTATATGTTCTATATGTTAATGCCAGCACTTTGAATTGGGATGGAATGGCAACAAGCAGCCAGTGCAGTCTGAGAAGGACTGGCTGGATGTGTTCATAAATATGCTCATACATAGCCATGCTGCCCTGTTCTGAATTAGTTGTAACATCTGGACCATTTTGAAAGGCAGCCCCATATAGAGTGCATTAATCTAGGCACAAGGTTACCAGCACATCGATAATTGTAGCAAGGCTCTGCTCATTCAAGTAGGAACATAGCTGAAAAACCAACTTAAGGTGATAGAAAGTGCTTTTGGCTACTGAGTCCACCTGAGAAACAAGTGACAACTTGGGATCCAGGAGCACTCCTAAGCTACAAACCTTGTTTTTTAGGGGGAATGCAACCTCCAGGACAGATTGAAAATTTCCCAGTTGGGCAAATGGTCTGCCTACGAGTAGCACTGTCTGGATTGAACTTCAGTTTGTTGGCCCACATCCCATCCATTACCAAGCTGAAGGACTGGTTAAGAACAGTCAGTGCCTCACCTGGATTAGATGAGAATGAGAAGTAGAGCTGAGTGTCATCAGCATATTGATGGCACTTCAGCTGAAAACTCCTTAGGACCTCTCCCAGCAGTTCTATGTATATGTTAAAGAGCATGGGGGACAAGATGGTACCCTGCAGAACTGAATAGCACAGAGGCCATGGCACAGAACAATAGTCTTCCAGTGCAACCATCTCAAGATGGCCTATCAGAGGAGTAGGATCATTGCAGAATGGTGCCCCCAACTCCCAACCCAGTCAGCCTCTCCAGAAGGTTACCATGATTGATAGTATTAAAAGCCACAGAAAGGTTTAGAAGAATCAACCAGGTCACTTTTCTGCTGTCTCTGTCCTGCCAGTCATCCCACTTAATGAACAAGGCAGTTTCCATTCCAAAACCAGCCCTGAAGCCTGATTGAAATGGATCTGGATAATCTGTTTACCCCAAGAGTGTTAGGAGTTGCCCAGCCACAACCCACTTAATTACCTTGCCCAGGAAGGGAATATTGGTTGTTGGTCTATAATTATTTACATTGGTCTGGTCCAGGTTAGGCATTTTCAGGAGTGGTGCAATCATGGCCAACCTTTAAGGGGGCAGCACCATTCCCTCTCTCAAACAGATGCTCACAGCTTCCTGGAATGCCCTTGTTAGATTTCCCCATGGGTAAGGGTTGAGCAAATAGGTGTGGGTTGAACCTGACCAAGTACCTTGTCTAGGCCACAATAGTTGAAACTCATCCAGTGGAATGGAACCAGATGGTGCTCTGGACACTTGGGTCTATGGAACTGGGATAACTGGTGTCCAACTCACTACAAATCTGAGTGATTTTATCCTCAAAATGTCATACAAATTTGTCACAGTGGGTCTCTGATGGTTCAGTAGAGTCATCTTTTGGGCCAGAGTATAGAAGGCCCTGAACCACCCGGAAAAAACTCCACAGGATGACACTATGAGGACATGATGCTGGTGGTAATAAAATGTCTTCTTGCCATCTTCACTGCCAGGGAATAGGGTCAATAGTGAGCACTAAGCCGTGTCATTTCAAGTTTACCACCACCAGAACTCTTGCCATCTTCCCTCTTGTTTCATCACTCTCATCTCTTGTGTGTACAAAGAAGCCAGATGGGCTCTGCAGGGGGAAGACAGCACTTGGGGACGAGTGTGTCCACTGCCCAGGCCATCTCGGGAGCTCCTACCATGTCAGCTGGAAAATGCCCAGAGCCCTCTGGAAACCATCTGGATGGACCATTTTAATGGATGCCCCACACTTGCAAAGGGGAAAGGGGGTCAAAAGTCCAAACCTCAAGAGGAAGTGATCTGACCATGATGTTAGCTCCCCAATTACCAGGTCACCATTTTTCTGTCCAGTCAAGAAAACTAAGTCCAGCATGCAACCTTTTAATATGCATTGGGCTGATGACATCCAGACACCCTTGGTATGGAGCAAGATAGAAATGTTTTAAATAAATAAATGACATGTTGAGACAACACTATGGTTGTTGTGGCTGCCATAAAGTCCTGAGCTGCCCAGACAAGGTGATCTCAGTATGGAAGTTGAGATCACCCAGGACCAACATCCTGGGGTTCCTCAACATTGGGTCAGAGACCACCTGTGCTAACTCAGGTAGGGAGTCTGTTGGGCAGTGGGGTGGATGGCACAGTAGCTGAATCCCTAATCTGTTTTGGTTTCCCAGTGAGAATAAAGCCACTCAAGACCTGTACTGTAGTGGACAGGGAGCCTAGTGAGTGGGATATAATCCCTATGGACTATGGCCACCTGGCCCTCAAGATGTTGATGCTGTCCTGACTACCCAGGAGGGCACAGTTAGGACCCTCCCACCTCATTCACCCAGGTCTCAGTAATGCAAGCCAGCCCAACCCTCTCAGCCATGATTAGGTCATGGTCCAAGGAGGTCTTGTGTGCTGACCTGGCATTTAGCAGCAGCACCACAAGGCTCAAGGGCAGACTGGCATGATTGCCAGGACTTGTCAGAAATTGACGGAGCAGAAAAGGGAACAGCTGTAAGACATCTGTCCTCTCTTCTCCTTCATGTGACTGTCGATCCCCCAGCACCCTATCTCCCCTACCCAAGATCACAGGAATTGGAGCACCCTCATGCTCCTCATATTGTCCAGATAGTAATAGTAAAGATAATATATAGGTTAAAAATAAAACTGCATGCCAATCACAAGTGAAAAGGAAAAAAAACTCACCTCACTTCCTGTCCTTTTATTCCTTTCTAGTTCTCTCTTCCTTCTAATCCTCCCATTCTTGTTTTTCCTTCCACCTAGCTGTTTTCCTTCAAATTCTTCCCTACCTATCCTTCCCTTCTTAGTTCTTCCTTTAGCTACTTTCCTTTTTTACCCATTTCCTTTGTTCTCTCTTTTGCACTTTTCTACTTCCTGTATTCATCCCTTACTTCCCTACTCCCTACTACTTTGTTTCATTTCCTTCCTTCCCTTCTACTTCCTTCTGTCCATTATCCTTCCTCCTATCCAAAAATCAAAATCAAAAGACAAAAGGCAGGGGAATAGCACTGGTGGCAGCACCCCTTCATGGTCTGGGGATCATGCCTACATATTTGTAAATATTGCAAAGACAGCTAAAATTGTATGTGAAGAGGACAAAGTAATTTTTTTGCCATGTGAATGAACTTTCATATATCATACAAACAGATGTGTCCAAATTACCTCAAATAATACACTAAATCAATTTTCAGTCAGAAATTAGCAGAGCTTGCTTTGATTTTTCAGTAATTTATGCAGCACTGCAGCTCAACTGGTCATTAGGTAGGTTTAGCCTGCTTTGCTTTGGTTAGAAATTTTTAATGTAGCAAAAACACTCCTTGAAACTGCTACTGGAAGTTGCAGATTGTCTGAGTCTTGATATTTATGCAGTTCTTGCTGGTATGTCAGAATTCCATTTTAAAATTAAAATCACTTCTTGCATTTTCCAGGTAATGCAAGCACAGTTTGCTCAGGACAACAATCCAGATGCACAAACACTCCAAAAGCTGGCAGAAAGAACAGGCCTGAGCAGGCGTGTGATACAGGTAACTGTACTGCAGTTACTTCACAAGTACTGTGAGCAAAGCCCCTCAGTTACATACCTCTCCAAAAAACAGTTTTTCTCTTTATCTATATTCTTTAGCTAGAAACAGATCTTGTATAATACCCTGCAGTATTTCCACCCCCACCCTTTTCCCCCATGAGGAAACTGAAGGAATAATGTCTTCTATTAGATGTTGCTGGTGGAACATGGTTTAGAATTTTCTTAAATGTGCCAGCTGCAGTGTGATCCCTAATGATGGTATGGTGAACACTGACACCAAAAGCTGACATGGAGCTCCCCATGGGGCTGGTTGCACTAACATGTGTATGCGTATATAGCCAACTTGAGTCTACCTGTTTAGTGAAAGCACACCAAAAGAGTTATGCTGGCATTGATATGACCCTACAGCTGGATTTAATTATTCTGTTGATGTAACATGCATTTCAAAATCTGATGAATGAAATGGTGTCTTCCCATTTTCTAGGTATGGTTTCAAAACTGCAGAGCTCGCCATAAGAAACATGTTAGCCCCAATCATTCATCTACTGCTCCTGTGACAACTGTTCAGCCTTCCAGGCTTTCCCCACCAATGTTAGAAGAAATGACATATTCAGCTTATGTACCCCAGGATGGGACAATGCTAACTACTCTACATAGTTACATGGATGGTAGGTACAGTAGCTTGCTATAACTGTTTTATGGACTTGAGAAGAAAATGTGAAATGCATTCTTAGCTCAGGGTTGGGCACCATGCGACCCATGGGCAGCCAACAACACATTTATTTTGTGTTCCGTATTATATTCTTGAGAAATCCTAGCTTTTCAGGGGTTTGTTTTGTTTTTAAAAAGCGCTACTGCAGAGCAGTGTTTGAAAGCGATAGCAATATCTGCTAATGGATCAGAAAACAAAGCAAAAACTCTACAAACAATTGTCCTCAGAATAATGCTTTAAAATTATTTTCTCACTGTCTCACTTTTCCCTGAGGTGAAGTGGCTGCTGCTTCCCCAGTGGCTGCTTGCAATGTTACGTTGATAATGGAGGATGAATATGGGGAGCAATGTTGGCACTGGAGGTTAGTTTGGGATAGCAGGTACACCAACATAGATCTTCCCATGCGGTTTCCCTGTTTCTACACTGCCCCAAAAAGCATGAGAAATGGACCAAGGGTCCGTAGTATTAGAACCATCTCCCACATTGGAAATGTTAATTCTAAACCAAGAGTACATTAGAAAATGGTCACATAACAGCTTGTATTCCCTGTCATGAAAATTAGATTAATTATATTTTTTCCACTTGGGCTTTCAGTACATGATTGTCTAATTCTGCCCTATTAAGCTAGATACAAAGATGAAATGCAAAAGGATTCCAATAGGAAACTGTTACTTGACCAGTGGTCTTGCCTGCACATATGCTTATGCTTGGTCTCTAACCTTTCAGGACTGGTGGACACATCTGAAATTTTGAGGAAATGTCATGGGCACCATCACAAAATGGCTGATATAATCACCACACAGTTATCTTATGCCCCACTTTCTCCACTTACCCAAGTAACTCATTTCTTTCTCTCTTTCAGGGTCAGTTCCTCAAACACTTTCTCACACAGATTTCCTCTCCTTGCTTTCTTACCCTGCCAGTTCACCCTGCAAGTCTTCATAGTTCCAATTGCCCCTCCTCACTGCACCTCCAATCTTCCTTCTCCCACCCAATTTGGTCTAGCCTTTTCCAGTTTGCTCTGGCATTAGTGCCAAGCTTCCCCCCTTACCAGGAAGTAGAACGGGCTCTGTCCCTGCCCAGGAACACTTCAAAGTGAAACTCTGGCATCCACCCACTACCGTTACTAAAAGTGCTTCTGTGCCCCATGTGGTCTCAGGCAGATTCTAAGATGGCAAAAACCTTGAGAGCAGTGTTTCCCTTTGAAGCGCTCCCAGCCACCCATTTAAAAGAGTGTTTCAAAACTCACAAGTATAAGCTTTGAGATCACAGTGAGAGGTGTCCACAGACATAGTGATATGTCTGGGAACCAAGTTCACGTTACAATGTAACTGATGGTGAAGCACTGTCCTCATGACCTTTAACAGGTATTCATATTCCTGATGGTGACAGTCCATTCTCTTTCAATCTCTTTCTCTCACATGTGCACAAGAGAGAGAGAGAATAAATCATATTTTGGCTATTGATATGAGTGTAAAGCTACATTATAATTTTTAGCAAGCTCTGGTCCACAGGGTTATGAAATAGGTGGTAGCTTTACATAATTTCTGGCCTTCTCTTGTGTTATATATTCAGCCATAGTTCTGATTTGCCAGTAGCTAGAACTCTGATTGTGGCCTAGGGTCCCTGTATAATAAGAGCTGAAGCTTTCTCTCACAGATACCCTTTTGTGCCTCAATTACTGCATGAATTATAATATTTATATACAATTCCATGTTTAAAACTTCTTTTTTGCTTTTATGTTCTTACTGGGATTTTTTTTAAATGAACAAAAGGAATGCAGTAATAGAAAGGTTTTACATTTTTATTTATATAACACTTAAACACCCAGTCTTAGTGTTTTACATAGATATAATTGGTTTATGCTAAAATGTGACACCAATTCTGGATTGAAAGGAAGGGGTCCCAATTCTACAGAAAGCTTTAGCAACTTTCTCCTGCTGAAATAGCTTTTATATTTGAAAGCAGGTTTATTTAAAGGGCTTCATCTTATTAACATTTTTAATAATCATAGTGTGATATTAAGCATATCCATAATAAGATATCTTCCTCACAAATTGTACAGTTGCTTATAGGAAAGGTTCAAATGAAAGCAGCAGGCATTGGTCAGGGTGTAAGGATAAGGACAGCACTGTCATTCCAGAAATGAATTCTTGCACAAGCTGGTGAAATGGGTACTGTTTCTTGGTATCCCAGTCATATTAGTACTGTTGGATCTTTATTCACAACTAACATTTTTCTAATTCCAGTCAGGCTGACCAGCAAATCTCTCTATTTTTGTAGCTCATTCACCTTCTGCTCTTGGACTCCAGCCTTTGCTACCCCATTCAATGACACAACTGCCAATAAATCACAGCTAACTCATTTATTTCAGGGACATGAGACTAAGGAGGTACCCTTGAGTTGCCTATTGTACTCTGTCACTGAATATCAGATTAATCTTAAATAACATCCAAAGCATTTTGAAGACAATTTTGTTGCCCAGGTATGTAATTATAGTTGGCCTGCAAGACACTTTTATGGCTTTCTCCATAAATATGTTTACAAGAAACTCCTTTTTGTATTTTGTATTGTCTGGAAATAGTCCATTCTAGCTATGTGTTTGTTAATTTATTATCATCAAAAGAGCACTTTGCCTAAAAGACAGGACTGACAATTGTGCAAAATGTTTACAATTCTTTGTGAAATTATAGTTCCTCATTAGTTTGTATCTGTAAGTTATTATTATTAAAGTATTACTTGTATCTGAGTTACATACAGCCTATACTTTAAAGCTTATGTCCACTAGCTGGCAAAATTTCAGTTGCCAGTGTTCTCCAAATGCCATAAATAAAACATTCTGTTGTAGCATGCCAAGCAAACATGTTATTGTGTTAATGGTATAATTGTGAGTCTTTTTAAAGGACAGATTGATTGTAAGGATGTAAATGTTTCATTTGGCAACCCATTCTGAACCCATTCTTATGACATCTGATGAGAAATCATTTTGCTCGAAATGCTCTTGAAACATTAAGGATGCCCACTGCAAGATAGAAAGCAGACTGCTGGAGAGTATTTTAAATTCTCTTTCTTCACACTGACTTAGTTTTTTCCATATATATTTAATATAGCATGGTTTCTGGGATTAGCACCTATTTAATGGATCACTGTAATCTTTAAACAACCCCTGTTGCTAACTGGCACTGAACTGGCCTGAGCTCAAAAGTTTGAAAAGATGGATATCCTTCACTTGAAAACAGCTTCATGCATAGTATGTGCAGGTCTTCATGCCTGCAGCTCCCTTGGCTGTAAAGGATAATGAGGCATTGCTATCTCATTATCTAAAAATAGCCCCTGATCAATTTAAGGGTTGGTGCATCAGGAATGAAAAAGACTTTACTTCATCTGAAGTTTGTTTTTCCTGCAGTGTGATTGATCCTTGTAGCCTCTAGCTATTCTTGCTGTTACCTTGAATGAAGTACAGATATTTGCTTTTCTGAAACTTAGAGGTGGTGTGCGAAAATGTCATTGCTTGTGATACATGGAGCAAGTTTTACCAATAGGCAAAACAAAGAACAGCCTAGGGCCTCACATTTTCATAGTCTCAAAAATCACTGAAGCAAAAAAACCCTTCTTCTGAGATGTGCCTGCTCTAACACACAGCATGCTTCATCTAAAAAGAGTATGCTTCTTACACCAGGATGTCTGTTTTTACTCATATGCAAATTAAATTGTTTAAACCGTATGATTGCCAAAGATTTACTTTAATTACAAGTACTATTTTCAGTACTGTGGAAAATAAATTTGGGAAGGGATTTTCACATTTAATTCTCAACTTATCAGTTCTTCCTTATAAATGTATACATGGTACAAGACGGTGCATCCTAATGAGTAGACTCTACTTATATGACAATTGTAGCACTTATAAACACATGGTCTCCATCACATCCAACCTGCTGGTATGCCCATCTGTACTTTCTGATCTATTTTTGTAGGCCTTTTAATGAGCTATCTGGTGAGATGGAAAGAAAAAAGATATCGGGCTTCTGGTGTTGGATCATGTTAGGACTAAGGGAAGATGGCATCTACTTCTCTGTATTCTGACAACAATGTACCTTCTGGATCATTTCCATAGTGTAACTCTCACTTATACTGGTGTCCTATTTTTTAGAATCAAACTGTACAGACTATCAAGGGCTGTTAGGCATGGCTATACATAACCACCAGCATCAGAGGCAGTCTGCCTGTCAATACCAGTTACTGGGGAATATGAGTAGGAGGCTGCAGTTGTGCTCACGTCCTCTTTGTGGGCTTTCCACAGGCATTTGGCTGGCTGTGGTGCACACAGAATGCTGGATTCAGTAGGCCTTTGGTCTGATCCAGCGTGGCTGCTGTTATCTTCTATGATTGAGAGAAAAGGTAAGTATCAGCCTAAGCAGCCTGTCTGGATAGCAAGTGAAGACATGTGGCAGACTCTTCGATTTTCAGAACACAACTGCATGGTGGATTCCCATAGGAAGCAGCTGTTCCAAAATGAATTCCAAAGAAAATCTTTCCCTTAGTTTTCAGAATAAAAGTGTGTGCTTCTAAAACTGGGCAGATGCTTATTTGAGTCTCCCTTTGTTTATTGGCTAGAGTAGTATTGGTATAACCAGTATGGACACAGGGAAGTGGTTTTTCTCTGCTCCCATCTTTTTTTTAAATAAGTTTTATTGTTATTTTTCTACTAACAAAAACAAACTAAAAATAATCATCAAAAGCATCAGACCTACTGGGTCAGCCCCCCCATACTTTTTCTTTTTATGATAATTCATAAACATATTTAAGTCTATGCATAGTCCTGTTTCTCTAGCCAGTAATAAAAGGAATTCCAAGTTTGATAGAAGTCTGTATCCTCTTTCTCCTTCAGAGACAAAGTTGATCTGTCCATTTCGGCACAATAACCTGCTCCCATCTTTTTCAAAACATGACTATATCATAGAGATTTGTTTTTACCTGGTTTCTCCTGCTCTGCATATTTCAGCAGTGATGTTCCAAAAGTAACATTGTATCAAAAGATTTTCATGCTCCTTAATATTCTCACAGTCTTTCAGCATGATTTTTAAAAGAGTGGAGCCAAGTGATCTTACAGTCTTACCCTAAAAATATTTTATGTAATGGATGTGGGAAAGGGGCTGCTGTACCATCACTCCTATTCTTCAATATATAATTGGATTAAGTGCTCTGTTCACAATTTTCAAGCAAATAGTTATAGAAGATCACTTTGCTTTTGCAAAGTGAGGTAGATGTTGGAGAGAGCACTATGCTACTAAAATTATTACTAATATGTGGCAGTTGTACATGCCCACCTTTATTTTATTCACTAAATTTATATTTTTCCATTCTACCACAATGGTGTTAATGAAAATTATTACAGCATTGAATTTATTATCTGGGATTAGTATCTCATTTTTCCAAGCATAAAATAGTGCACTGACCATAAGGTATTTATCAGTGTCAGGAGGGAAAATTAAAGGAAAAAATGGACACAGTACAGTAAGTTCACACAAGATACCCTTACAAAGCTATTCCCAAAGCCAAAAAGTATACACCTAAAATGGGTTGAAGTCCTTAATCTGATGTACAAAATTTGGCAAGTCAGCTCTTCAGCAGCATATACCACCAGCCCTATTTTTTAAGATGATGATTTCTTGCTCCCCCTTTACCAGTATTTAGGTTACAGCTTTTCTGTGAAGGACCCACCTTTTTAATAGGATGCTTGAAGCCCATGATTTGCCCAAAACCCAGGTGTGTGGGAGCTTGTAGATTTCATTAAGTGCTCCCCAATGCTTCTGTTGAGTTCCAGAACTGTTCTGCATTGTGCAATGCTTTCTGAGATCAAATCTTGGTGGATTGCTTGGTTAAATCATTTTACAGATTCCCTTTCAACACACTGCTTTGGTGGGTTGATTGGTAGTGGCTTATGCAGGAGTCTCCCTGTACAGCATATACATTAGACTATATCCTAAAATGTGAGGTGTAAATACTTGTACATTTGATATGGGGCTAATTTTCATACAGTATAAGATGTGGTGATGGCTACTCATTTGGACATGTTTCAAAGAGGTTTGACACATTCATGGAGAAGAAGGCTATCAGTGGCAGCTAGCCCTGATGGCTAGATGCTACCTCTGTTCTTGGAGGCAGAGTGCCTATATACATTGGGGAACTTGGGCAGGAGTGTGCTGTTCCACTAATCTGCTTGTGGAATCCTGTGGACAGTTGGTTTGTCATTGTGTGAACAGAATGCTGGACTAGGTGGACTGTTGGTTGATCCAGCATGGTTCTTATTTGAGCTCCCATGTGTGTTCAAACAGTACTACCATATGGAAGATGATCCCATTTCCACCTCACAATTTTTAGATTGGTCTAAAGTTTTATAGACCAATCTAAAAATTGTGGGGTGGAAATGGGATCATCTTCCATATCAGTTTTATACACCTGATTCCTGTGTTTTGTTTCTGAAGTGCCAAAACTATTAGAAAATTACTTAATCTTGTCATACTGATGTGGTGGTTATTCATCACGTCTGCACCCATCCTGGGTGACAACTGGCATTTACCATGTGAGGGAAACTGTTACTTCTCTGGTTTTCTTTCTAAATACTGTCCAGGAGCCATGTGAGATTCTGCTGGTCAGAGATTTGGCTGTACTGCATAGAGTTGAAGTATGAGCTGTATGATCCCTGATGGTTCTTGAGAGTCTGTGGTTGAAAGTTGTAGACGACTGATCATGACATTCCATTCAGTGGTAGATCTCTAGCTTGGCTTGCATTCTCAGATTAAAAACTCAATAGCAGTACAAATATTCAACCTGGGATTCACCTGGACCTATAAAGGCAAATTATAATGAGATTAAACTCTGCTTTTGCATGCTTTGCTGTGTGTCTTCCTGAATGCTTACTCCCTCAAATGTAACCTGAATTTATTAAGCCTTGTTCATGGTTTCATGAAAAAAGGCAGGTATGAAACATAAATCACTCCCCAGGCCTAGAAGTACATAATGACTGGATGATATTTTATCGATCATCATGGGTGAATGCCAAGTGCAATATACAACCCCTGCTTGGGAGCTGTGCTGTGCAAACCCACTGAGTCTGGCTTATGTGAGAATCAAACAGCCTTTGTATAATCTTAGAACGTATGAGACAGTTGTTTAACCCCTGCATAAACTGTGCTCACTATGTTCACACCCAACGCGGGTTGTACATAAAAAATGGTAGCTGCACATGCCACAGTCTCATCATGACTTAAGTGAATGCTTGGGTGTCATGTTGTAGAATAAGTGGTTAGTCACTTATGCTGCTCCTGAAGCACAATTGCTCCTGTATACAAAGCATAAA